AGATCCACTCTCGAGAAAAAGTGTATTAGGGTTTCGGTCGTGCTAAGTATTTATGTAATGCAGCTTTTTAAGTTTATAGTTGTCATAAAGTAGGCTTGTGGAACGCCTGGTTCTAGCTATGACCTTGGGAAAGCGCGTTCGTCGAGCCTGTTCCAGTTGTCCGAAGTTACATAGCTTCACCCTCAGAGCAAGATTATTAAATTCGCGCTGGACCACCACCTAAGACAGGGTTATCTGCTTCTCAAGGTCCAGAAATAGATCTTTTTCGTGATATACTTCTTTGGGGTGTTTTGGATCATTTGAGGTTATGATGAAGGTATCGGAAGAATCAATAGCATTGCGATGCATGCTACACATGTCGGTCGGCACAAGCATTATGTTACACCAATCAGAAGTGGACTACCTGTCAAAAGAAGGCTCAGAAGATTGAACTAAAGAGAACGAGAGGAGAAACAAAAAGGGATTGAGAATTACAGAATCATGAAGGATGTGAAGAGCAGTGAAATAAAGATTTGCAAATGAAGTATGTATTGTTGTCCCGTTTTACCAAAGCGCTCTGTACTTTTTTCCTTAACGAAAAGTAGTTGTCCTCACTAAGTCTTTTTACACTAAAGTATGATCTATTTCACATGTAGCAATATATCTATTGCTGAACCATGTGGCAATTCCATATTGTGGAACAACTGTCCTGGTTTTTATCGATTGTTCAGTCCTTCACGTTTAGGTATGACATTTTTAAAGGTGTCATGACGTTTGGAAGCATTTATTGTAAACTTATTGGGTGTGATGTGACTGTTGAAGTCACATGAAAAAGCCTTTACCAACACGAAGGTTCGGGTCTGTTATGCAATGGCCGTGGAAATCAGTTTCTGAACAGCAGTACCAGGCTTCGATGTTGTCCGTCCGGAGTTGCATAGGTGCAATGTGGAGGGTGTGAGAGTCTGATTCTTTAAACGTTTAGATGTGTGTCCAGATATATTAAGAATAAATATGCAAACAAATCTGAGGACACAAAAATAATATCGCTATATGCAGAAGAATATATACAATTTTGAGACAACAAATATACGCACAGTTTATCGCTTGGCGTACCTGAACACGTCGGCCTCACTAATTGAAATGTCACGGATGTTCAGGGCTTGACAACGCTTTTGTCTGTGACACTGTTATAGTCGAGGATCTCAAAACCAGTTAAACTAGAAGCCAGCATTGAAACATTTCGAAGATATAATTGGAAGATGGTCGATATATCGAGCAGCATAAGGTCTAAGCTGACTAGTTGTTGCAAGAGTTGCGTAGCATCGCGTATTCAATGATGATCTGGTGCGTATACTTGACTGAGTGCATTCAGCTAGGGTACGTTTAATAAAGCTAACGAAGTAGGCATCAATATTGAAGACTTACAGAACTATTTATTTTAGAGTCGCTACTGCTAGTCCATGTCAGGATAAAGAAGGAAAGTTTGGCATGGGGTTAGTGTCTCCATTCGCGTATGAAACTAACTCTTTAAGTAAACGCTAATTCGAAAAAAAATATTCCAACTACTTGAACTATGAACTGATAGTTATCAGGTCTTCATTTAGAAGAGTTATGATGTCTCATAATAAAAGCCGAGTTCCTTCGGAAGTCACGAGGCTGATACCCCTTCTGACAACGAGAGCAATCATTAATTTAGGTACATGGAATGTTGGTACAATGCTGCAGAAATGAAAAGATGCAGCATGGAGATGCTTGGAATCAGCGAAACACATTCAACTCAGGTTAGACAACAACGACTGTCTTCAGGAGAACTTCTGTTATACTCCGGTCATGAAGAAGAAAATGCCCCACATACACAAGGAGTTGCATTGATGCTGTTCAAACAGGCACAAAAACCACTTGTAGGATGGGAATCCGATGGACCAGTAATCATCAAAGCCTCCTTCTAGACAAAGAAAGAGGGCATTACAATGAACGTCATCCAATGCTATGCGCCTACCAACGACTACAACTAAGAGGTTAAAGATCAATTCTACGATAGGCTGCAGTCGATCGTCGAGAAGTGCCCAACCAAGGACCTGAACATTCTGATGGAAGATTTAAATGCCAAGGTTCGAATGGAAAACACTGGATATGAAGATGTCATGGGACGACATGAACTGGGAGAAAGGAACAAAAATGGTGTGAGATTTGCAAACCTATGTGCCTTCAATAAACTGGTCATAAGCCGCAACCATATCCTCACACAAATGCATGCACAAAGCCACATGGACTTTACCGAATCACACTATGCAGAACCAGGTTGACCTTATCTGCATCAACAAAAAGTTCAGGAGGACGATGGAGGATGTGAGGACCAAGAGAGGAGCTGATATGGCATCAGATCGTCACTTGCTGGTCGCCAAGATGAAATTAAAACTTACGCAGCATTGGACGACGGGGCGGACAGTACCAAAAAAGTTTAATACGTCTTTTCTTCGGGATACTGACAAACTCAACAAATTCAAGATAGCCCACAGCAATAACTTCTAGCCCTTGCATGACATACCTAATGGAGACGGAACTACTATGGAGAGCACCTTAAAGGGGATCAGCGAGATAATAACTTCAACATGTCAAGAGATTCTTGGCTAAAAGAAGCACCATCACAACGAATGGATCACTGGTGATACACTGAGGCTCTGGAAATTTCCGCTCGAAGCTAGTCATCATTGAGTATTTGATAATTGTCATTAAGGGGTTGTTGAAATCATTGAATTCGATTGAAATCACGAGCTTACCTAAGTCGAATAACAAATTTTACTATTCAAGTACTAATGACTTTGTTTGATAAAACTAACACAATATAATTTAAGAAAAGACATATTAGTGATATTCCAACGATTAGAAAAGAAAAATTGCTGACGTATTGTGAACCAGTGTAAGCCACTTCTTCAGAGAACCAATTAATAAACAAATTAATTTAATACAAGTTTGAGTGAGACAGGAAAACAAAGTAAAAGTATTTAACAGTTGAGGTCATGAATCAGTTGAAGCTAGACAACCATGGAAAACCTGGAAGCACTGGACGGCCGTTTTGTCCTATTGTGAGATTCCTCAGCAGTGCGCATCAGGCTCAGTGGTCTAGATGTTAAGCGTTCGCGCGCGAGACTGATAGGTTCTGGGTTCAAATCTCACGAGGCGTGATCGTGGATGCGCACTGTTGAGGAGTTCCACAATAAAACGAAACGGTCGTCCAGTGCTTCCAGGTTTTCCATGGTGGTCTAGCTTACATTGATTCATGATCTCAACTATTAAAATTACTATAATATCCACAAAATCCCTTCTGACATTAAAAGTATTTAGTATAATTATCAAACAGGTCTGATTAGTTCAGTGTCATGCCACACGGAATAAAATGATTTTTGTATGATATGCTTGCATATTTGTGTACAAGTTAATATATGTGAAAAGTGCGATATATGTAGTGTGAAATGGTAGAGTTGAATTTGTATTTATAATAATGGTGTAAAATGTTAATAGGATTGAATATGGTAGCTTGGATAAATGGTCCAAATTGGACTGAAGATGGCTTGCACTGGTAATACCTATTTCATTTTACGTTTTATTTAGTTTCACAAAAATTAATAGGTAGTATTTTCTGTTCTTTGGTTCGAGCCAAGATTTCAAGAGATCACTCTTCAATATAAAAAGCATCAAAATCGACACAAAGTAATCTGTAGATATACTTCTGCGTTAATATGAAGGGGATCGAACCGATTGTACGAACTAAAGCATTTCAAAGTTTGTTAACTGTTCATCAAGTTTATTTTCCGTTTTGAAAGTAAATTTGACGTAAGGTGAAAGTGTAGTAACTCCGCCTGCACCTCCGCCGGCGGCTACTCCCGGTCCCAAGCCTGGATAAAGGAGGAGGGTTGGGCATGGGGTTAGCGACCCCATCCCGTAGAAAAACTAACTCGCCAAAAAACGCTAACCAGAAAAAAATATTCAAACTATTTAAACACTGCCCTTGGAGTTGGCGGAAGAATTATGACGCCTCATGATGAAAGCCGTGATTTTTCGGAAGTTACGAAGCCGATGACCCCCCCCCCGTTCTAAAAGTGTAATAATCAATTTAGATAACTTTTTTAAGAACCTCTTCTTGATGATAGCAAAAAAATATGGAATAAATTTATAGTCATATGTCACTAACAAAGATATTTGAATCTATATGTGATGAAAAATAAATCGATTCCAATGCAGATTAAATATCCAATCTATACTATGATAGAATAAATTGAAATGATAAAAGACAGATATTTCATAACATTGAGAACATATCAGATTGATTGATCAGATCACTTTCCACTTAGTGATTCATTTGGATTATGGGAACACAATCTAACAACCAATTATAGTATTTAAATATATAATGTAAAAATAAAATTAAATAATTATAAGCAAATATGGATAGTGGCTAGCAGTGGAATTCAGGATGCACGTTTCGTCCTGTTTGGGACTCGTCAACTAGATGGACCTGCATCTCAGAGTTGATATTCACTCTGGGACTCGAACCCAATACCTTTCGCTTCAAAAGCCATCGCTTTATCTACTCAGCTACTGAGTCCTGATAGCTACTTGTTTGTGCAATGGAATGAAGTTTAAATTCACTTGATATTGTTTGCTTGAATCTTCCCGTTGATTTTTAGGACTGCAATTGATTAGTCTCTTGCTTGTAATGCTTGTGAATTAAAGCTTTATCGAGGCAATACGCACAGGATGCACATTTGCCAACAAGAGACTGATCAATTGCAGTCGTAAACATCAACGGAAAGATCCAAACAAACAATACCAAGTGAATTTAAAATTAACCGATTAATTTTCAACTTATTTAATTGTATACCTCTTATATAACTGGTTATTCATCTTATACACTTAATTATATGTATTGTCTGTCTATGCATCTATGTACCATTGATAATTTTATATATCCAATCAAATAACTATTATAATTTCTATCACTTAAACTAATAATCAGTATATATAAGTATACTTTAACTCTATGAATTATTATATTTATTCCTTTGAAAAAAAATTATTATATTAATTTATTGATACATAGAAATGTACAAAATTAACAGATCCCGATCATATTCAAAGATTAAGATCTGAATGAAGACTATTCTTTTCGATAATTTAACAGATCCTCATTATATTAAAAGATCAAGATTTGAACGAAGAATATTCTTTTTCGATAAATTAACAGATCCCGATCATAATAAAATATCAAGTTTTGAAGGAAGAATATTCTTTTTCGATAAATTAACAGATCCCGATCATATTCAAGGATCAAGTTTTGAAGGAAGAATATTACTTTTCGATAAATTATTAGATCCCGATCATATTCAAAGATCAAGATTTCAACAAAGAATATTCTTTTTCGATAAATTAACAGATCATAAAAGATCATTCATTGATATCATTGTTATATTTCATAGATTTCATATTTTGAAAGTTCATTAATTATTGATTTATTAAAAGGGGGGAAGAAAATAGTTTATCACTAATGGAATATTATATAATTAATTATTAATTAAATAAATAATTATTAATTCTATTTATATATAATGAGAGTAAGTATTTATTAAATGATTAACATTGTTTTGTTTTTTTAAATCAAAAAATTTACGAAATATGCATGCTATATTACTTATATAAGATGAGTAGTTACTTAGTAATATGATAAAATTATAAACAAACAAAATTAATTTCTATAAGCAAAGATGTATAGTGGCTAGCAGTGAAATTCACGATCCGCGTTTCGTATTATTTGGGACTCGTCATCTGGATGTACCTACATCTCAGAGTTGATGTTCATTCTGAGAATCGAACCCAGTACCTTTCGCTTTAAATCCCATTGCGTTATCAATTTAGGACGAAACGTGCATCCTATATTCAACTGCTAGCCACTATGCATCTTTGTTAATAAAAAGCTTGTGAGTTCAGGAAATATCGAGGCAGTCCTCACAGGATGCACATATACAAACAAGAGACTGATCAATTGCAGTCCTAAATAACAATGGGAAGACCACTGAGCCGGCATCCAACAGTGTTAATGGTTGAAGCCAGAAATTAATACCGTTGGATGCCGGCCGGCTCAGTAGTCTAGTGGTTTAGCGTTCGCGCTCGAGACTGATAGGTCCTGGGTTTGGGTATCATGTGGCAGGATCATGGATGCGCGCTGCTGAGGGATCTCACAATAGGACGAAACGCCCATCTAGTGCTTCCAAGTTTTCCATGGTTGTCTAGCTTCAATTGATCCATGAATTCAACTATAAAATTACTGAAATCTCCACAAAATCCCATCTGATATATATATATTCCTTTAGTTTAAAAAAGTGGTATCGGTGTTTTGTTATCCCTAGATTTAGTCTTTGGATTTATCTAGACTTTTTTTGATAAGACTTTAAAATTTAGTGCTGTATATAAATATTCATTTCAGTTTACTATTCTGTTATATTGATTCATAATAAAGTACTTATGTGAAAGATCCAGGCATTGCTCAAAAAACAGTTGAAGATTAACTAATAACACTTTTTTGAATACAATGGTCAAGATTTAGCATGACAGTAGCTTATGAGCATCACCATAGAGTATGATTAAATGGTTAATTGAGTATTTTTAATGTATATATTGTATCTACCTTATATCTCGTCTTCATTGTAGAGTGTACTAGTGGACTAGAAAGACGGTTTATTCTTTATGGTTTAAAATCCTTGGAATTCGACTCACGTTTTGTTCTCCCAATGTACATGCATTGAAAGTGCATAATAGTGTACAAAACTGTAGATGACATGCAACAGCTCTTTTTTAAAAAATGGTTAAGTTATTACGAAAATGTGATTTTTGGTTTCGTCTTTACTATTTAAATAAATAATCCTGAGGGAACAAATGGCATATGAACCTATTGTTCGTCACGCTCTACCATGAGACTGCATCTCCTGACGTTGCTTCACTGCCTTGTGGGCCAGACTTTTAGATCAAAGGCTCAGAATGTTGCCTCCTAAGAAAACCACCTGCTTCGATCTGGGCACCCGAGCAGTATCGTAGCCCTCACACAATTGTAGGGCGCATGTATATTTGGTGCCTCCTTGTACCAATATTTCAGTGTTCAAATAAATAAATGAGACATAATAGCCGTGCTCAGCTCTAAATTCACGAGCTATCAAAGCCAAAAATCTCAGGATGTATAATATTTATGAAATGCATTTCAAACAATCTGATCACACATATACACGTTAAGACATTTTCAAATGAAACATTAAAGATCAACTAGACAGTTAAAAGATAAGCCGTAACAAAGAAAAGTCAACTACACAAAAAACAATGTGATAACTATTTGGAATAATAAATCAGTATAACCAGGGTAGGTTTAGGGTAAGATTTATTTAATCTGTCTAGTTGATCTTTTATTTTGCAAATAGAAATGTCCTAACAAATATATGTGTGATCAGATTGTTCATAATGTATTGCGCAAATACACCACATAAATCTGATAATCTTCGTCTTTTCATTGCATTATCGAAATTTATCAAAGGAAGTAATTGGTAAGCAAAGACGAATAGTGGCTCTCAGTTGAATCCAGGACGCGCGTTCCGTCCTATTAGGGACTTGTGAGCTGGATGTACCTGCATCTCAGGGTTGATGTTCACTCTGGGACTCGAACCCAGTAGCTTTCGCTTCAAACGCCATCGCGTTATCCATTCGGCCACTGAATCCTGATAGCCACTTGCTTGCGCAATGGGGTAAAGTCTAAATTCAAACAAACAATACTAAGTGAATTCAAAGGAACTAATTGTTTCAGATTTATAATGTGTTACTTTTATTAAACACTAGATTTCAGTCACCCTTGATAACTATCCATTAAAGGAAAGGAAATATTTCCAACATCCGAGATGGATAAACTTCACTGGTTATTATTTTTCACTAGCTCATGCAGTGAGGTGTTCAGTACTGGGATTAAATATGAATGATATCCATAAAAATTCATTGCTAATAGTCATTGTTTCATAGGTAATGTTAAGTTAAAGTAGGAAATTACACAAAATATATGAGAAATGAAGATAACAGTATGGGATTACGGTTCAATTAAATATAAGATATTTACTCTACATACAAAGATCAGTCTTCATCTCATTGAATACCAAGCTTTTCGATGTTTTAATGAATTAAAAACAAATAACAACTGAAAGACTTAAATAGAGTTTATAAATAATTAGAGATTACTTATCTTTTCCTGGTTATTTGTTCACGAATGAAATGTTCAACTTCATTCTTTTCAAATACCAAATAAAACTAGAACGTTTTATGTTGAAAGCATTTGACTACGACTAGTGTACCCTGTTCTACTGGGATAAAAGAGATTGAAAACAAGGTAATTGGGAGGTTAATCTTTCTGTCGTACAGTTTTTGATAAATAGCTCGTTAAAAAATGAATTTCGCGGAACGGCCATCTAGTGCTTCCAGGTTGAATATGGTGGTGTAGCATCAATTAACTCATGAATTTAACTATAAAACTACTAAAATCTCTACGAAATCCTCCTTCTGATAATAATCATATGATCACTGGTGATTGACTTTAACAATTATTTCCCGGAGCTCAAGTGAGAAGCAGTGACCAGTGGAGTTCAACCACGTCTGTTGTGAGATAGCGAATCACTGAAGACAATGGCGGATGATGGAACATTTTCGTGGATTGGATGAAGTTAGGCAATAAAACTACTGGATGCCAGCTCAGTGGTCTAGTGGTTAAGCGTTCGCACTCGAGACCGATAGGTCCTGGGTTCGAATCTCGTGATGCAGGATCGTGGATGCGTACTGCTGAGGAGTCCCACAGTAGAACGAAACAACCGTCTAGTGCTTCCAGGTTTTCCATGGTTGTCTAGCTTCAAGTGACTCATGAATTCAACTATAGAATTACTAAACTCTCCACAAAACCCCCTTATGATAATTTTGCGTTTCACATTTCCTAGTTTTAAAAGTATTCTAATATAATAAATGAATCATTCAAATCCATTTCTTATTCAATTTTGTGTTTATTTGATCTTCTAAATTTTGTTTGCATTACATGTCATGAAAACTTTTTAAAATCATTTCTTCTTATGACAATTTATATTTCGATATTAAATGTATTTGTTTAGTTAAATATATGACATATTTAATGGACTGAATGAGTAAACAGATTTATGTATAAACGTACTTACATATAACTGTACTTGTTCATCATGAATACAATTGATAACCAACATTATAAATATGATGATGTTTCTCAAATTGATGTCAAAATAAACTGATAGACTAATTGAAGTGAACGTTTTTGATGGGTTGTTTAATTTTCCATTGTCTTCGGTGGGTGACTGCTTCATACCTGACACGGTTGGATTTTAATGGTCACGGCTTTTCACTAGAACTCTGAGAATTACCGCTCGCAGTTAGTTACTAGTGAGTACATGATAATTATCAGTGTATGATTGTGGGAATTGTTGGGATCATGAACCGATCAATGTTGAATTAACATTGAAAACCTGGAAGCACTGAACGGCCGTTTTGTTTTAGTATGGGACTCCTCACTAGTGAGCATCTACGACCGTACACGTGGGATTCAAATCCAGGACGTTCAGTTTCTTGTGCAAATGCCTAACTTGTAAGTCACTGAACCGAAATCCAACAGTTTTTATGTTTAACTTTAACCAATCTATGATATTGCACGACCATCTCAACACGATAATCTGCACAACCCTACACTGATAATTATCATGTACTCACTAGTGACTAACAGCGAACGGTAATTCTTGGAGTTCTAGTGAAAAGCCGTGACTATTGAAATCCAGCTGTTTTGGATTTGAGTAAGTTACCAGCGGAAGACAATGGGAGATTGTCGCCTAATATCTCAGTCTGGTTTACGTTTGATAGTCTTTTGCAATGTATCCTTATTTGTGTTGTATCTTCCAAGTTCAATCAATTTTTACATTCCTTTAATCATTGCGTTGTATATTAAAGTGTAATTCTTATTGGTAAATTTATTGTGAACCGTAAACTTTTTTCTAACCCAGTACCCTCGTTTCAAATGCCATCGCGTTATCCACTCGGCCACTGAGTCCTGATAGCCACTTGCTTGTGCGATGGAGTGGCTATCAGTGGCTATCAGGACTCAGTGGCCGAGTGGATAACGCGATGGCGTTTGAAGCGAAGGCACTGGGTTCGAGTCCCAGAGTGAACATCAACTCTGAGATGCAGGTACATCCAGTTGACTAGTCCCAAATACTACGAAACGCGCGTCGTCAATCCTACTGCTAGCCTCTATCCATCTCTGTTTACCATGCTTGTGAATTAAGGCTATATCGATGCAATACGCACAGTATGCACATATGCCAATTAGAGACTGACCAGCTGCAGTCCTAAACATCAATGGTGGGATTCAAACAAACAATACTAAATGAAACATAAACTTTTTTGTTTTCATATTTTACATTTAACACACTGGACTGAGCTGCAATAAATATGTTTATAGCAGACAGTAATCGACTAGTCTAGTTGCTTGGAATAAAATCATGTATAGACATTTTACATTACT